GTTTAGGAGATCAAGAATATAAACGAAAATTATAAAAATTAAAGCGAAATTGTAATTTCTGTAATATGAGACAAATTTTATAATAAAGTAAGAACAAAAATTTTAATTAATGGGATTCAGTTTCTTTAATTCTAAATATGGTAGATATTGAAGCAAACAATTTTTTGCCATAGAGTGCTATAATAATTTTATATTAAAAAAATTTAATAGTTTAACAATTTGTTTTTGTAAATTTTTAAAATTTTTATTCAAAGTTATAACCTTTTGTAGAGAATCTAAAAGCTATTCAAAAAATATTGGTTGTTCAAAGACTCAAATGCAATACAAAGTATGATTATTTCTTTAAAATTCCTTCTTTGTATGCAAAAATCATGTGCAAAATTTTGAAATAATTTAAAAAACTTTGTTAATACTTAATGCCTTTTTATTGCTAAATATTCTACGACCGTAGAATGAGACCCCATCAATCACGGGTTTTATCCGAATTTATTTATAAATTATTACACTCAACACAATAATATAAATTTAAAATAAATCATAGAAAACAAAAATATTAAATTCTGTTCATAAAAAGGATAATTTAATTAAATCTTTAAAAAATTGGCCATATATGTTGCATATTCTTAAATTGTTCGTTTATTTTATAAAACTTCCATATAAACACTTAACCTTATTCCTGTTCAAGTATTTTATGGTATAAAAATGTTGTAATACAGATTGAAGACGTAGTCATATCAATTAATTTATGTATAGACTATCGTAAAAATTGTAAAAATATTAATCTTGACCCATAAAGAAATAGATCTGTTATAGATATAAATGCATTCATTATTCTAAAATCAGACATAAATCACGTACTACACATATGTATGCATGAATGAATTCAATAAGAAATTGAATAAATTAATAACCCCTACAATATATTGTAATATAATTTTATGAAAAAAATTAAAATTGTTCCTTACCATATCTATGATGATCTTATTAATCTAAAGTATTCATCTCAATGTTAAAACTTTTGAAAATTCAACTAATTATAATTTATGTTAGCATCATATAACATAAAGCCTTTTGTTCCAATGTTTATAAGGTTATATTTAACCACATATCTCTTGAATCTTCAACATTTAATTTATTTTCTAAAAACAAAAATTTATTTATGATATATTATATAGGTTAGAGAGTTAATTGCTGATATGTATAAAAAATTAAATTAAATGTACATACATATACATACATAAATGTGGGTACATAGCTGATTAATATTGACAATTGTATATGCATACTAATTTTTTTTTATTTTCATTAATTAAATAAGATGAACAGTGAGTTCCATTTAGAATTTTATTATTTATTTTAAAGCATCATTAAATGTACATGTTATGTCAATTGTAAAATATTTATGCATTTTGTAATACGTGATAACTTATATTGTGTATAACAATGTCAAATATTATTTTTTAATACAAAATTGTAATTGAAAAATAAAATTCAAAATCTAATGAAAAAATCACTTGTGAACCATATAATACATACAATTATAGTTGACAAATATTGTGATAAAACACTGCGGTATTAAAATTGAAATTTTTGAATAATTTGCAATAAGTGCTGTCAAAACAATGAAAGTGTTGTAGAGACTGTTAAAAAAAGAAGCCTTTATTCAAATATTTTTATACCATTAGATTACTTGTACAAATTGTTTTCGAAATTTAACAAAATAAAATTGTATTGCGATAATTTAGATGGCATTTCGAAAATTTTGTGTGTTTTACTCATATTTCATACACTACTTACCAAATTTTGTGTTAGGGTATAGCATTGAATAGTAAAATAATTTTGAGAACTTTTCAATAACATCTTGTCCAAAAACTTTTTAAATAAAATTACATTAAATATCTTTTGTAATATAAAAATATTTAATAAGTAAGGTAATGAGATCATCTTATTTATGAATCATAAATGTATGTACTTATGTAAAATATAAAATTACATAAATATTATAAATAAATCTAATTATGCATATACAGTAGAACATGGATAAGTGCATACTCTCGTGTATTTTAAATTTGTGCACTTACAAGTAATTTGCACTTGCACGTTAATAAAATTTGTTAATTAAGAAATTTAAAAAACGGTAGTCTATTTTTATATTAAACACAAAAGCTTATTGTAATTCACGCCATATTAAACTGCAAATGTATACACATACGTAACTCTGTATATACTATAGCGGAATAGTGTGTACACCTATTAAGAAAAAAATGTGATTGCAATTTTGCAGAAAATGTATCAAAAATATATCTGTCAAACAAATATCTGTCAAAAAAAAATTTGCACTTACACGAGTAAAAATTCATTTAAAAAATATTTTTGGTATAGAAATTTTTATGCACTTATGTATATAAAAATGTGCACTTATCCGTATTGCGCTTACCCCAGCTAATTTATAAGATCTATTACACGAATGGTAGGTACATGGGAATTAAAAAAATAATTTTCTTCGGCAAGTTTTGCATTTATCCGAGGTGAACTTAAGCGTTTTCTTTTGGAAGAAAAATGAGCAATGTGAACAAAAGTATAACTTATATATTATTACGATATATTCACAAACATACATACATATATTATATGTAATTAATACTCATAAATGCATATACTTACATACATAAATGAAATAAGCCCTTACATCTGAAAGAAGAAATAATTTTCTTAAATTCTAAATATCTCAGCTTAAAACTTGAAAAATGTGTGAATGTCACCTTAAAGGAAAATATAATAATAATATATAATTTTTTTTTTAATTTCAAAATATAAACTTCAAAATACAAAATAACATTTTATTAAATATCAACAATCAAAGTCAAATATTTTCTTAATATGTGCATAAGTATGTTCACGCACTTGCCTATATTGCTTATTTATTATATACAATTATATATAATGTACATATGTATATGAGTTTATAAAAATATATAGGCGCAATATACCTATTGCATTATCATTTTTAAATTTTTCTCTTTGTGTTTGCTATAGGTATAACATAACATTAAAAACTATTCAATAAACATACAACATATACCTATGTATGTACATTACTTAACATGTGTACGTGTATATAAAATATTAAGCTCATTTTCTCAACAAAAAATATATAAGATTAAACAGCACTCTATATTCGCATTACAGCATCAAAAAATACCGAATTTATTTATTATTCTTCTTGTACCTAAAAAAAGCTCAGCTTTATATTCATCTCTCTTTTTCTAACTTGTTGTTTTTAAATTACGAAAATTGTAACAGTGAGTTCTTTTGTTTTGTTTTTTTTTATTTCTCGACTCGAGTCTCAATTATTTCTTCTTATTATATTTTTCTCTTTTTTCTTGGTACTATATACATATACGTATATATATATAATTTTGTTTAAATTTATGATTGTATATGAATATTACCTCATATAGTTATCACATACCTTTTTATTTTAACAATATGAATGAAGCAGCTTATGTTTTAATTTTTATAGTACATGGGCAATTCATATTTTAGAAAAGAATTTTTTCTCCAATTTAATTAATATTTTTTCTCATTATTTTCTTTAAATTTTAATAACCATTATGTCTATATAAGTTTGTATGATTTTAATAAAAATGCATGAGAACATTAAATGCATTTAATATTCGCCTAAATATATGCAATTATCAAATATAACTCAAAACATCAAATAATGTATGGAAGTAATTTTTATAAAATAAATATGATAATAAGACGATAGCCCTTTATTGTACATATATACGGACCTCTGTGTATTATGTGATTTTAAACCTATGTATTATTAAATTCGAAATAAAATTTTAGCATCACAATAACAAATAAATAGCTGCAATATAGTTTAATAGCTGCATTGTGAATATAGTTTATACTAATATATAGAAGACCATTTTTGTAATTACACAAAGACTGACTGCCTTTTTAAGAGGCACTAGTGAATATTAAATTTTTAAACTTGAAATAGCGCTACTCAAAATAAAGTAGTTTTATTGTGTTTTTACAAAAATTACCTTCTATATAGCGCTCTAAACAATATACACAATGCTACAATCTAAATGAAAATTTGTTACAAAAAATTCTTGTTTTAAACTCTACAGTACATGTATGCACGTATGTATATTTTTTAGTAAATCTCACTTTCAATTAAAGATAAAATTTAACAAAAGTGTAGTCTGTCTGGTCTCTTATTTTACCTAATGAAATTTAAATAATCTGTAAGTATGTACATATTTCTATGTAGTACACTACACAACAATAGGTAGGTATGTATATATGTACATAGTTGATAATAATATTTAAAATGAAATCGAAATTTAACAATAATATTGGTATCTAATAACAATAAATAATAAAAATAAAAATATACATATGCGATCCTACTTGCAATTGACATAAAAATTTAAATATCAACAAAATATAATATGTAAATATTTTATACATAATAACATATTATGTATGTATATAAGTAATATACGTAATTGTTCTATATAGGTAGTATATAATAAATATATGTAATTATTAAGATTTCTTGCCTATAATGTGTTTTGTTTATTTGATATTTAATTCATGCAAATACATACATATATAAAATATACTGAAATATTAAATAAAAAACAAAGCCACAAATATATTAACAATAATAATGATAATAAATAAAATTAAAAAGAACTCAAAACTGAAGTCATTAAAATCGTGACAAACACTTCTATGTACATACATATTATATATTTTAACATTTTTTTTGTTAACATTCAACAAGTGATTGAAAATAAACAATAAAATAACAAAAAAAAAAATAACAGAAACATGAGAAAAAAAGACAACACATACAAATATTAAAAGCACTAGTAACAACAAAAACAACCATACGTACTTTGGGTTTTTTTTTTTTTTTGTATATAACAAAAATATTTTTGTTTTTTGTTTTTATTTTCTGGTGTTGTTCAGTAGATTCAAATAAGATAGAAAAGCACTAAGTAATACTCAGTGGTTTGACCAGTTTTAATTTAACATTCGTCGGTCGAACATACACAAAATATTATAAAAATAAAAATAATTATTAAATACGGTAAATTAAACAAAATAATAAAAATAATAAGTAAATAGTTATTATTTACCAAAATAAGTAAATTAAATTTTATTCTAAAATAATTATAAATTTAAATTTTCATAAATTATAGAAAAAAAAAATAAATTTTCAATTTTAAAATTGTTATCAAATTTTGTTAAAGGCTAAGAGTAATTGACATTTTGAAAATTAAATTTTGTTTCTAGGTTAAAATTACCATCCTTCAAAGTTTTTTATAAAATTTTTCAAACGGGAATTTTAAAATTTTTTTTCTCCCTCTTATACAATATTTTACATTATTCGTAATTTACCACAATATTTTGAATTTATGATTTTTAAGAGACTTACATTTATATTCATTTTACATAACATTATGTGCCCTAAAGATAAAAAAAAATTTATTGAAATTTTTTAAAGAAATAAAAATTTTTTTTCCCATAAAACAAAAAAATAAATAAATTTATTAATAAGAAAGAAAGAAAAAAATTTTTTTATTATAAAAAAATTATGCAATAGGCTCAAGTTTAAAAAAAAAAAATAAATAATTTTGTGAATTACAACAAATGATTGTGTGAAGTATTTGACATCAAATGTACCAAATCCAAAATAGAAGAGTTAAAAGTGAACAAAATATAAACACGCATACAAATATAAGCACATATTTTGTACACAACATGTGTACAAACACGAATACCTACATAAAATAAATAAAATATACAATTTATTTTTTTTTTATTAATTTTCGTAAACAAAAACCAAAATGAAGAGAAGAGCTACAATATTGTAATAATTATGCTAAATGAAAAATACAAAAAAAAAAAAAATAAGCGGAAAAAATTAAAAATTGAATATTCAAAGTCACTCTGTACACAGCGTCGCGTATAGAGCATTTGACAAATAAGTTGACTCCAAAAATACCTTTTTTTTTTTTTATTTTGTTGTTGATCTTAAAGTCGTAGGTTTTCAAAACTTGAACTATTTTTTTTGTCTTATTATTTTTTATTTTTTTCTTGTCATATGGCAAAGATCCGTTTACAATATTAAGAGTTAATCAAATAATTAATTGTCAAAATATTTTTCAGAAAAAAAATATTTTTATTCAATTAATTTTGTTATTTTTAATTTATACTTAATAAATAGGAATTAATAAAAATAAAATTATCAAATTTAATGAATTTTATAAAAACAATTGAAATTTTTTATTTAAGTATAAGAGAATTTTTTATTCATACACAATACATACGTACATATTTATTAGAAGAAAAAATAATTTTATAATTTTTTTTTTTTTTGAGGTTAGAAAAGAGTTTTTAATAAATCTTTCAAAATTGGTTTCAAATCGAGAAATTCTGTTAATATAACTGAAGATCCTGTCAAGGTAAGTTTATATAATTTAATTTAAAAATTCTAAAAGAAATTATGTTTCTTATTATAAAATTCATATTTTAGTAGGTATTTATGTAAATTTAAATACGTTTACGGTTATTTCAAAATAATGCCCAAAAATAAAATTGTTTAGAGTAAAGAATAAATCAATTATAAATTGGGCAAAAAATTATTATTAGAAAATCAATCAAATATTATGGCTTAGATATTCCTAAAAAATTATGCTAAATGGCGCGCTTGTTCAAATTCAAATTTAAATTTGTTTAAGTTTAATAAATTTTCTGTATAATTTGGCAAACAATACTAAATATAAAACAGAATTCAGTTTTATAGTACACTTATATATAAGTATGTATATGATGTCGATGGCTTATGGAGGAAAGCCACATATGGAAAACTTAATCTAATATTTGAAAAATTTTGAAATATTTTGCAATCTTTTAGAAATGAACAATCTGCATATTTGTAATAAATAGTCATGAATTAGTATTTTTTGGAATTTTCTTAAATAATTTCAAAATTTTTAAAATGTGAGATAGAAGGTTTTCTCAATCAGCTTTCGATGTTTAAAATTGATACAATTTTGGAATTCAAGTAGTCTTTATTAGACCCATCCAATTTTATATTTTATTTTAAACTAATTAAAAATTATTTTTAATTTGTTATACATATATGTGTATATGTATGTATATTTCAATAAGTACACATGGAAGAATTTTATACCATTTTGCTTTGCCGTTCCTTTTTTTTTTACTACTCGTATTGCAGAATATTGGGTTGATTGTAACGGCAATTCTTATTAAACTGTTTCTTATATTTTTACAGAAACTGTAGAGATTTTGGAAATTATAAGAAATTATAATAATAATTTAAATAGACAATTTATTTAAAACAGCATTCAACAGCATTAAGTTAAATTAATCGATTTTTGTTGATTAAATTGGGAATGAAGCATCTTTATATCGAGTACCATTATCCAATCAAATAAATTTTAATCGACGATGACTAAACTATGGCATTAATTTCAATATCTAACACAATTAGAATTTATTTCCGGGAGTATATGGCTGAATCACTTCACTGTATAGATCTTTTCATAAAAAATAAATCTTCATTCATATTAAATTTAATTAAGTCGTCAATATTTGTATATACATAACATCTTTATACTTTTATTTTAAAATTATATTACCTTCATTTTAAAATATTTAATTTTGAAAAATGCGGTTCTTACACTTTCTCTGCTTAGTAATATATTATAATTCATAATTAATTCATAATTAATCACATGACATAAGTAATTAGTTTTAATTATAGTGTTGGTAGGTATTAATTTTTGTTACAAGAATGATCTTTAAAGTTTTAAATACTCCGGTAAAAATTTTTAACATTGTCTTATCTATATTATGTTTAACAAAAGATCTAAGAATACATACATATATGTATACACACAAAGGTATGCAATGAGGGTAAATATCGAAACCATTGTATAATCGGATTACCAACAACAAACGGAAGTTCATTGTATATTCAATTCAATAAAATTTTTTACTTTCTTTTATATTAATTATCGTACCTATTACATTCTAATTGTTAAAGTGATATAGAGAATGAAATTTCAAGCCCTTTAGCGTTTATATACTTATATACAAATATGAATCTTTAGGTGAAATTTAAGAAATTCGTAAAGTAAAAGTATACACATGTGTTAATTTAAAATTAAATATGTACATACATAAGTAGGACTCATAAAATGCTATGAAACGTGAATGTTGAAATCTTTAATAAATTAAAGGTCATAAACCATTACATATAATATTAAAGGTTTAAAGAAATTTCAATAAATATTTGGAAAATATGTTTTTTTTTGTTTGGAAATCAACTAACATTTTAACTTATTTATAGATTTATGTATATGTATGTGTGTATGTTATATGAGTTTCAAAGTGCGTTAATTGTAGTTTAAATGAAATTTTATGACTTCGATTCGTACGGGTATTATAAAATTGGACTTCCGTTCGGTACTCTTACAAATAATGGCCTATATATTTACACCATTATTGAAAGAATCCAAAGTGGGTAGAACATTTGTTCAGAAGTGAGTGTCAAAGCTGGACTGTGTTAGAAGTGCCTATAGAAATTCGAAGAATATTTGATCAAATTATTACTTGCTTAGGTGTGTTTGCTTATAACTTCCGTGGTAAAATTTTTGAAAGTACTAATACCGAGCCGGAAATTCATATACAGTAAAAATCGGCTATAACGTTATTCTGGTGCCTTGAATGTATGCTGTAATCGATTTTTACTGAAAAAAGTAAAATTAATATTTAATTTTTTACTGAACTTTTGTTAGCTTTTTGTGGTTTGTGAAGCTTCGAAATACATAAACGTCTAATTATACAATTATACATTCAGACATACGTATATGTATGTATGTATATGGCAATATATATTAATAAATTTCAAGTTATTTTATCATTAATTTTTATTCACTTACAAATATTTTTTTTTATTTTTGTTATTGAGTTTTAATTTTTTAAATTAATTCTAACACCTAAGAAGCCAAGCCAAGCCAAGAAAGTTCTATATTTCTAAATTTATAACTTTAATGCTAAGCTCATATTGCAAATGTTTTTATTGTTTTTTTTTACACGTAATCGCATTAGAGTGTAAAGACAACAAAGAAAAAAAATAACCAGTTTCTCTTATTTTATGCTTCTTTTCATTTGCTTGTTTTTATTTTTTTATTTTGGATTCGGTTATTCTCATCGTTCATTAGCAGAGAATTCACGAAATCAGGTTTTTTGACTTAAGTATAAACTTTATTTAGTTGCTTTTGTTGTATAGAACTTTACGAGAATTATTTATGTATATTTAATAATAAACTTTATGAAAGCAAAAAATTATACAGTATAATATGTAAACATGTGTGTATAAACAACATACATTATTTATGTATACAGAGTGTGTAGGCTTCAATAATATAGTTGACATTTTGCAAATCGACCGTAAATTAATTGCTAAAATAGATTTTTACTTTCTTTTCTTTTCTTGCACCTCAAGACTAGCCTTCTAGTTTCTTATCTTTGTAATATTGTTTTAGAGCTCATAAAAAATTATATCCTGTGCGAAATATGTATAGGAGCTATGAATATTAACAGTGCAGTTCAAAGTACGCCGAGCAGAGTGCGACTTGTAGAGAATTTAAAATTGTATACTTAAACTTTCGTAGGTATACCGATTTCTCAAAATTATAAGTAATTTAAACTATTTCGGCAATTAAACTGGCACCGTATCTTTGAAATTAAAACTGTTTTATGGAAAAAGAGAGCAAGAGAAAAAGCGAAATACTTTCTGTTATTTCGAAACCAATTTTATACACCCTGTGTAAGCTTGCAATTTTTTACCTGAAAAATAAAATAAAAGAAGAAATAAAACTTTGTTTGTATGTACCTATAATAAATTTTATGAAGGTATGGGACCAGTTAGTGCTTGACTCCAAAAAACAAAATTTATTTTTATAGTTTGAATTTTTGTCTACATACATATGTGTATATGTATGTAGATATAAGTAACGAAAATAAATTGGAAAATAGTGACAAATTTTTTTTTTTAATTTTGATCTCTTCTGAAGTCTTTTGAGTTAAAGAATTTTTCAATTCTCATTTCAAAATTTTTTGTGCTCATTGGAAAGCCATTGATTATTTTAACAACATTTCATACAAAAAATCATGTATGTATGTATATATGAATGAATGTTAGCATAAACCTTTTTAATTATTAAACGTATAGTACCCAAAGCATTATAAAATCTCTAAAACAGCTCAGTCGAATTTTAAACTTAAGTTTCTTATTATGATTTTGATATTTTTTACACAACCAGATTAGCCAGAATTAAAAATTCAATTTATATGTATGATTTTTTTTTGCAATATTATGTTTTTCCTGAGAATTCTAATTAAAATTAATATTCTTATGTATGTGTGTGTCATACACTAAAGATGATGATTCACTATAGTAAGTCAGTTATGCAATTCTACACACCTGAACATTATAATAATGAAATTGTAAAAAAAATCTTAAATCGTAATTTTTATTGATTATAAAAGTTTTTTTTATACAATCATTTTTTCAATTATTAATCTTAGAAGAATAAAGCAAATGGAATTTTTATGAATCAGTGGGAAATGTAATAAATAAAAATAAAATTAAAATAAAAAATACGGTCTCACTTATTGCGAGAACCGAGAAATTCTACGAAATTTTTACTTCAACGCTTTTATTAATGCTGAGTATACGAAAAGGATAAATAGATCTCATAGTAACTCAAGTATTCGAACATTGAACTCAGCTAATGTTTTCAACTAGGATTGCAGTTAGTAAAGCAATAAGCTTTGCTTCTAAAACCTAAATACTTCCATATTGGAAGGGCAAATCTCACATAACTAACTCAATATGACAATAGCAATTGTAACGCTACATATGCGTCCGAGTAATGTCAAAATAAACATTCCAATCAAATTATATTGCTTTAAAATTGCATAAAGCAAAAAAAAAAAATTTGAATTATTACAAAGATTTTCAACATGATTCATGAATAACGATAATCACTTAAAAATTCTGTAATTTATTCCTTTTTCATACCATATATGTACGTACATAAGTGTATGTGTACCCTAAACTCTTATATTACTTGCCTTTAAGTGCAAATTTTCGCTTTTTTTTCCCATTAAAAGTAAAAAGAAAAATTACTTGGGTGCATGCACCACTTTCGATTTTCAATCAATGAATTTATTTTTATTTTTTTTTGCTTTTTATGTGCATAATTCTTATAAGCATAACATAATAATGCCTATATCCTAGTTGGTATATCTATGATATTCTAAACCTGTTCCAATAGACTTACTTCTTATTTACTAGCATAAGAATTTTTATATTTTCTATTTTAAAAATGAAAAGAAACATAAAAATAAAACCGGTTCACCTATTTTT